TATTATTATTATTATTATTATTATTATTAGTAGTAGTAGTAGTAGTAGTAGTAGTAGTAGTAGCAGTAGTATTAATGGTAATAGTTATAACAGCAATAATGACTGGAGTAATCATTTCAATTGAAACTACATATCACGACATAACATACACATCATGAAGTGCTTTAAGCGGTTGGTCCTGGCACATCTGAGAGACTCACTGCCATCCACACAGTTTGCCTACCGTGGCAACAGGAGCACAGATGCAGTCTCCATAGCACTGCACTCTGTACTCACACACCTGGACAATAAAAACACTAATGCACAAATGCTGTTTGTTGACTTCAGCTCAGCATTCAACACTGTCACCCTCCAAGTTAATGATCACACTTAGAGACCTGGATATTGACACGTCTCTCTGACACACTTACTGTCTGTACATACACATTTGTAATTATGTTTGTCTATCTGCACAATTCTGATTATTAATAGCAACCTGTACATATATTCATTTATTGTAAATCTCTGTTCATAGCTAATACAACCTGTATGTAATGTTCATAGTACATCCATCTGTAAATATCACCATAGTTTTCCTATAAGTTCACTTTATAACTTATACCTGTATCCTGCACTTGCTGCTATTGCACTGCTGGTTAGATCTAAACTGCATTTCGTTGCATTGTACTTGTACATGTGTAAAGACAATAAAGTTGAATCTAATCTAATCTTATATAATAAGTAAGCAGTTATTTCAATTTCTAAAAATATTCAACAATGTAACAATTTGTTTTTATATTTAATAAATGTGCCTTGATAAACAGAATAATTTTTTGAATGAAAACTGACATCAGACTTTTGACCGGTAGTGTAGGTCAGTGAACAGAGACAGGAAAAAAATACAGGAGAATGGTATTGATTCTGGCTGTCCTCTTGAGTGACATACAGTATATCCAGGTGTCATAAAGGAGAATGGAGAATGACAGCCTCCTTAGCCAACCTCAGGGCAGGGCAGAGCACTTAACAGAGAGAGCGCGAAAGACAAGAAAAAACAAAATGTATATGGAATTAAGCATTTACACATTAAATGAAATTATATTGCATGAAGCACATGTACAGTACATTACATGTTTACTCAAACTTTAGACTTTAACATATAAACCCAACTGTAAAAAATGGCCATGATTTCAAGGGTAAAAAACTGTAAAAATGCTACAGTACAAATCAGTAACCTGGTTAACGGTATGTTTCCTTAATATATATGGCGAATAACCGTAAATTGACTTTCCCAGAATTCCCTGCATGGGATACTAGTGTTTAGTAGCTGTGTGAATGACACTGAGCACCTTCTATATGCTGATACTCTTTTTCTGCTTGTGGGAAAAGTTTATTGTGATGACCATTGGCTCATTATGTAACTTCCTCATCACCTGCATGTGGGTGGTGTCTAACTGTGTAACAAAAGATATGTAGATGTTGATCATTCAAAATACAGACATAGTACCTCGATAAATTATTAAAATAAGGTAATTTACTGTGAAAATGAAAAATGACTTTTACGGTTTGTACCGTGTTTTTAACGGTAAAGTACTGGCAACCACAGCTGCCGGTTTTTTACCGTAAATTTTATGGATTTATTTATGATCGCCTAAATATGAGCTATAAAGAAACATATTAATATAACATAGAGCATTTAATGTTGCAAATACTAGAAAATCTTGTTTGAAACACAGGTTAACAAGTTAAAGTTTGTTCAAACTTCTGCAGAATATTTTGTTTTCCTGTGAGTGTTTGGCAATTCCTTTGGAATTGCTGCTGTTACCTGTATGCCTGTCAGGATCAGGATGTCTCTCTTTCCGGATGCATTTGTTTTCCTCCTTTAGCTTCTCTGACCTCTGTTATCATTTCCTTTTATAGACTTTGTAGTATTAAGTTGTTGCTGTGCAATTTGTATGCAAATCCAGACATAGATCAGTCAAACTGAAACAAAAAAAAAAAATGTGGACACAAATATTGTCCAGTTTCATGGATGTTAAACATTATTATTATCAAGAGGCTTTATGCACAGCTAGTGGTTTTCAGCCCAGAATAAACTTCAGGTGAAAGCTTAATGTGAGTATTTTCAATTTCACAAGGTTATTTTTACAGCATTAATGTTGTAATGTCATTAAAATACATTTAGTTACATGGATTTAAGCATTCGTTTATTGGTTTAAGTGTAAAACCAGATGAAAGACCCTTGTAATCACTAGCACTGATAGTAGCAACAGGCTAGAGCAGAAATTCCATTGAAAATACTGGGGTAAAATAAACTTTTACTAGTTTAATAGTCATATTTTAAAGACATGGTGGGGGAAATGGATATCAATGCAGTGCTTGTCTGAGCTGAGACCTATTTCATATCGTATATCTAACAGGAAGTGAAGATCGCTGATTTTTTAAAGAAATTGGATCTTAAACGTGAACATTTTGTAATTATTTATCATTATTATTTTCCTTTATTTAGCCAGGAGATCATTGAGACAGTACTATCTCTTCCTCCAGTGAGACCTGGTCAAGATGGCAGGCAGCACATAAAGTTTCACAAATCACAAAAAAAAAAAAAAAGTACCACAAAATTACAAAATCACCATTTATGAAAAGGTCAGATCATAAAAAACATTTACTAGTATCCTTTAAGACCTTGTACAGAAGATGTTTAAAAGTACTCAGAGTCGGAAGTGTGTCAAGATTGAGCTATTTTTGCAGGTCATTCCAAGGCCTAGGAGCATAAAAGGAAAAAAAGCACATTTGCCAGGTTCTGACAATACTCTTGGGACTGTTAAACGAATACAGGAGCCAGATCTATTGTGTTGGTTGTTTATGTGAAATGTTAACAAATTAGAAAGATAGGATGGTAGTTTACCCAAGAGCCCTTAAAGTACAAATGTAACTTTCTGCTTTAATATAAGGATAGCCAGTGATAAAGCGTATTGCTGCATGATAAACAGAATCCAGTTTTCTGAGTATAGCGGCTGCATGCATATATAGATGATCACCAAAATCAATTATAGACAAAAAAATTTACTCTTTACTAATTTCTTACGGGCCTTATAAGGAAATTTTTTTTGAATAGTATAAGAAACCTAATTTTGGCCTAAGTTTTTCAATAACTTGTCAATGTGTATATCAAAGGCTAATTATCAATACCTTGATATTTGTAGGAGCTAACTCTTTCTATTTGTACACCATTCAATTATGTGATTGTCTGGTCTGTTACCTTGGTGCGGCCATGGCTAAAATATATATTTAGTCTTGTTTGAATTTAAAACCAAATTTAAATCCTGTAACGTACACTGTAATACTTGAAAAGCGTTCTGTAAATACTGCATTGCTTGGTTTAAGGAATGTGCCGTTGTAAATATTATTGTATCATCTGCATACAGGTGTGTTTTAGCCTTTTTTTGTTCCATGATCTAAATCGTTAATAGATCGGCCATTCCAAAAATGACATTTTATGGTTTCCACTACATTCATTCTTCTATGGCAGGGCGCCACGCCGAAATTGATCCCGCCACAGCTACATTACATCTTTTCATTCAAAACATTCAGTCCTGTTTTTTTTTTTTTATAGCGGGTGATAATCGCACCAAAACGTATTAAAATGTAAGTTATTTATAACAGCGCAAACTTTTTTGTAACCGTAGTAGTGCTGTGCATTATTTGTTTAACCCTTTAAGGTTACGTGCTAACTGACTGACTAGCTGACTGACACGTGCGTGAGCCCAGCAAACATGACGTATAGCCGTTTCACTTTACTTCAGGAGGCATTAAAACCGCTCTGTAGGTCAATTGGAGACATTCATAAATATTCCTAGCAAATGTAATAAATGTTGGAGACATACTTGTTACATAAACCCACTAAATCGCACTTCAGCAGCCGTTATTTGAAAAATCTGTGCTTGAGCAGCGAATATTTTAAAAGGTGTGCAAGTTTTGTGCACGAGCAGAGGAAATATGCGCATAAGCAAAGAGATTTGCATGCTGTAGGCTATTAAAGGAATGCAATCTCGACTTGTAATACTACTCTCACGACATTTATCATTGAAATAACACCACAGGTAGTTGGTAGATCGGAGTAAAAAAGGCCTGCCGCCACAGCTGGAAAAACTTCTAGAGGAACCACTGCATTTGAATTGTAAGAGAGTACTCTTGAAAATGTTCTTTCATTCACTGAGGTTCATTGGGAAATCCAATAGTGTTCAATGCTTCTATGCCATTGCTGTGAACCAACACATGGTCTATGCCAGGGGTGTCCAAACTTTTTGGGCCGAGGGCCAGATGCAAAAAAAAAAAAAAAAAAAACGTTGTCCCGGGCCAAATTTTACATACATAACACAGACATTTAATATTTATTAATATTTATTAATTTATTCATTTATATATATATATATATATATATATATATATATATATATATATATGATATTTCCACACATTTCTAAACATAATAGTTTTTGTAACTCATCTCTAATAACTGATTTATTTTATCTTTGCCATGATGACAGTAAATAATATTTTACTAGATATTTTTCAAGACATTTCTATACAGCTTAAAGTGACATTTAAAGGCTTAACTAGGTTAATTAGGTTAACTAGTCAAATTAAGGTAATTAGGCAATTTATTTTATAACAATGGTTTGTTCTGAAGACTTAAGGGGCTAATAATTTTGACCTTAAAATGGTTCATAATAAATTTAAAACTGCTTTTATTCTAGCCAAAATAAAACAAATTAGTCTTTCAACAGAAGAAAAAAATATTTTCAGATATACGGTGAAAATGTCCTTGCTCTGTTAAACATCATTTGGGAAATATTTAAAAAAGAAGAAATAAATCAAAGAGGGGCTAATAATTCTGACTTCAACTGTGTGTAGATAGATAGATAGATAGATAGATAGATAGATAGATAGATAGATAGATAGATAGATAGATAGATAGATCATAACAAGAAGTGCTGCTTAATTGAATGCATGTGATAGCGACACCCGGTGGTTATTTATTGTATTATGTTCATTTTTGTATAGCGGGCCAGATTCTATTGAAATTTATAAAAAGCCTCGCGGGCCACCACAAAACTGATTGCGGCCCGCAGATGGCCCGCAGCCCGTAGTTTGGACACCCCTGGTCTATGCCATTGCTGTGAACCAACACAACAGTCCATTAATGGCATCCTATCATGCCCATTGTATTACATGATCAGTTGAAACATATTCATGTAACCTTTTGGATGTGCATGCTGGAATTTATTCAGTAAAAAGTCTTTTCCTCATTGTTTTTTCCTACACAACTTTTTTTTATATGTGGATGGAAACTAAACTACAGAATGTTAAAATGCTTCCCAATCAGTGACCTAAAAATAAGACCCAGTTTCAAGTCCTACTGCACTGATGGCTCCCTGACACATGAGATTCTGTTATGGTAGGTTCTAGGTAAACTAATCATCCAATGCTTCCCGCTGGACACCTCCAGTGGATTAAGCCTTAATTAATTAGTAGAGTAGTTAGATAATGAAATTTAGCCTGAGCCGGTTCTCTGTGTTCCCTTGCAGAGCCAAGAGTCACTCAGGTCCCGAGAACCAGCAGCTGAGCCAACATGGTCAACTGCTCCAGCTGCCAGGCTACTGCTTTAGCAGCAGGGGTCTTGGCTGGGGAAGGGGGGTATCAAAGGAGAGTGTATTGCAGAGAGGAGGGGTGTTGGATTAAAGCAAGGGTTGGTGGGCAGACAACAGTGTGCACTGGGTGGGGTAGAACAGATGAGGAACAATAGGGGCAGGGACGCTGGAGTGAGCAGAAGGGTGAGGAGGCCATGGGAAACGTGTGGCGGCCATCGCCCCAGCACCAGGCCACTGGGCGCACTCAATAGACACAGGAAATGGGATTTACGTGAGGCAGATGTGCGCAAGAGAGGTAATGAATGCATTAGAGCCCAATGAGCAAGAGAAAGGTGAGAGCGACCAATGTGCGCTTCCCATGAAAGCCATTAACCCTACCCTCTATGTGGACCACCGCTCTGTAGATGGCTATACAGAGACACTCTAAAACAATGAGAGCACAAGGAGATGAAGAGAGAAAGAAAGGCTCTTGTGCCTTGAGTACTCTTTGTCGCCCCGGGCTGGCCTGTCATCTTGCATTGCGTGGTAAGTGTGTCGCAGTGTAGCTTACTACTTATCGACTGTTTCCAAACCCATGACACAGCTCATGAAAGGACACTGTCACTTTCCCAAGGCTGCGTGGTCCTATATCACTGTTGACATCCTTTCTTATACAGATGCTGGTTTGAATGTTGGTGAGAATCTGGAAGTGACTGCACCCAAGAACATTTTCCCACTGCATGGCAAAGCTTCAAACCTTGTGGCTGGAGGTTTTCAGGGCATTGTATTTATGTCCTGTAAATCATTTCCCCGTGAGATTGTAGATTGTTTGTTGGAACAATGATGTGTGCTGCTTTGAAATGTTCATAAATCAATCCATATTGAAGAACATACTGTATGCTGCTCTGCTCTCTCTACATGCTAGAGTTGATTTTGATGCTTATTTTCCCTAGTGAAAGCTTGTAGAGTGCATGGCATGGCTCTTTTTGTTTAATTTAATCCTTTCAAGATGCATTATATTGCTGTTTAGATTGACATAAAATTCCTACAAATAATTGAAGCTCTTAAAACAAAAAGTGCTTACACTTATATATGTAATCACTGAGGAATATTAACTACATCCACTTGCAGAACTATACTGTATAGTTTGTCTTACAATGGTGGTGTATATTTAGGTCATATTTAAAATATCACAACCACCATGATTGGGGAAATAAAACATTTAAAAGGAAACGAGTGACATCAAAAAATGCCCCCATGACTTTAAGGTCAGTTAAGAGTATGTTTTTACAAGACAACACTGTACAATATATGTCTGTATTTTTAAACATTTTATCTTACAGATGTCTTAATTTAGATAAATCTGCCCTAAATGGGCTACAAACTCTTAATTCACATGCCTCAATTGTCAAATATGCATGAATGTAGACTGAATACATAGCATACACATGAAATGGATGCTATTAGAAATGGCCTAAACCAGAGATGCCCAAACTAGGGCCAGGGGGCCAAAGTTGCCCTATGGTAACCTTTGATTTGGCCATCCAATCTGAGAGGGAGAATGATGGGGATGGTTAAAGATAGTTTAAAATTAACTCTTGATATTAAGGGTGTCATAAGATATCATGAGATTAAACCGCGACGAGATTTCTTGTCGAGGTAAAAAGTTGTCTCGTGTGTTGAGATCCTAGCATGATGGGGCGTGGGGGTGAAATTAAGTGAAGTGAAGATTGTCATTAAGTGGGTGAAGATTGGAAGCAGGATTTAATTTGAATAAACCACAAATCAAGTGCTTTGCATAACCCTGGTATGGATGGCCTTTGTGTGATGCACATGTCACTCGGTTGGGGTGGGCAGCTCTTTTTTTTTTCACCGGAGTGAGATGTGAAGAAAGCCGCATTATTGAAGTGCAGTACAGATAAATAAACACCCCAATTAAACTATTAAATACTATTGTGTAGGACTTCTAGCTGCATTTTGCGACAGGACAGTCCACGTAGCTGTTTGACTCTATATTCTCTGCACTTACACATATCTCTAAGCGACAACACATACTGAACTGCAGGAGACTCAACACAGTCGCCTTCATCATTACCAAACACGTTTATTTTTAACATGTTTATGTTACGTTAAAGCAGATGTTTCCTTTTATTGGTTCAAGTGACCAAACAAGGACTAAAAACACTTATATTGTCATGTGGCACAAGTATTTAAGCATGTATTTAAGCATGTTCACGAGAAAGAAAGAGCGCAACATCCACCAGGTAACCAAAATCATTTGTGCATTATGAATCACATGTACAAATCAAGCCATGGACATTACATTAAAATGCCTACTGGTTTAAAAAGGCCTAGATAAAAAAAATGGCCAAATGAGAGCGTTTCTGTCATAAACTATTGGAAAACAACTTGTCAAAAAGAAAATAAAAAATGAAACCCTGCGAACAGAATAAATACAGGAATAAAGAAAAGAGCGCTCTTATTATCAGCTGTCAGTCAGCGCCCGCTTTTTTTTTTCCTGGTCATTGCGCCTTTTGCCGTATGCAGTGTAAATGCAGACAATCAGATACGAGTCACCTTTAAAAGATGATAAATGTAAGCAGGTCATCAAAAAATTGGATACTGTCACAAAATCCCCATCAAGATCTCTAATGTAAAAACTGTGAGATTCTATAGGGGAAAAGCCAGTCAGTAGAGTTTGCTATTTTCCATTTATATATGAACAAATGTTTTGCAGTGTCTGCATGTTCTTTGCATAGAATTCAATATAAACTAATATAAAACTACTGCATACATAAAATTATAGCAATAATTTTGGAAATTTCATACATAAAAAAATAGAAGTTCAATACAAGAAACTAAATTGTTTGGCATTTTAAATTTTTTTTATAAAAATCTATTTTTTATTCATATATTAGAAAAATGTTTGATCGCATGTTTGATGTTTAATCATGATCGCTTCTGCAATTAGTACACATCTGTGTGTTTGTGTGTGTATTTTTTATATATATATATATATATATATATATATATATATATATATATTTCTGTATTTTTTTCATAAATAAAGGTTTAAATGAACATTTTATACAAACATTTTAGAGACAGGTGGGCCTTCAAAAATTGATCGGAGAAAGAAGTGGGCCCCGAAGTGAAAAAGGTTGTGCAACCCTGGTTTATGCATTTAAATTGAATGTAACCCTTTGTTTGTTTTCTTGTTAAAAGCCAACTGAAATTAAATGTTTCAATTAAATGGCGTAAATCCATTTGTTTAAATGTATAATGCGTGACCTGACAGTGCAGAGACTTTGGTGAGCAAATGAAGCAAAGGCAGATTCTGCTAGATACTGTATTCAGTATTGAACTCCACTGTGTTAAAAATGTGGTTATTATTATTTTTTTCACAGTAAGTTAACATTTTAAAAGTTACACCTTGATAGTTAATAGGATTTAAAGTAATTTTTTTGATTTATTTGAAAATATTATTAAATAAATTAGGCAATTACCCATGGAAACTTGAATATAATATAGTTTGGCATATTTACCTTCAGCCCATGGCTCTCAATGATATTTGGTTTTTGGCCCTTCATATGAAAAAGTTTAGGCACCTCTGGCCTAAACATACAAAAAGTTTGTTGGATAATCGAAGTTGGTTAAATAATTGTAATTAGTGAAATTGGTTAATAAAGCTTTAATTGCTTTCAAATAAAATGCATTGGCAATTACCATAAAACCAAACAAATCTGTAATATGCTCTATCATCTGGTGGCTTAATCAAAGACCTTTATTTGCCACCCCTACAGTTTACATGTGTAATGTAATGGCTGCAGGAACTTGTACCCTGAGGCTCAGAGCCATGAGTGCTACTTAAGCCCAGCATGGGGTTTGAAAAGGGCGGGGGTACACAGAGGGGGTAATTTGGGGAGGTAAGCTCACACCTGTGGGACGGAGGGGCAGAAGGAGAGTGGGGTCGATAAGGGGTGGAGGGCGCGTAGAAAGCAGATGGGGACGCAGAGGTTGAGCTCCCTCTGTTCTTCCATCTCTTTTATCCATACCCTTGTGCTCTGAAGCGCAAGAGCAAGAGAATAAAAAAAGAACCAAGACAAAGCCTTTTCAATTGGGGTAAAGCAGTGGATGCATCTGCCTGTGCCCCCACATCTTGAAGATTTAAGTAATAAAGATGAAGATGAGATAATCATTTAATCTGAAAGACACTACTTTTGTACAAAGGAAAGCAAAGATGGACTTGCTTCCATTAGATGTTTATCAATTGTTTTGTTACTTGTGTTTTTTTCGGTCTTAATTTATGGTCTTGCAGCTCTGAGGGCAATCAGCATGGGTCCGCGTCAGGAGGTGGGTTTTGTTGTTTACACAAAGTGTTTTGTTTGGTGGTTGGTGGGTTCGGTAATGTCGGTGGTTTCAGGTTAATGACATCTCTGTGTTTACTTTTGAAGTCTGAAATATGGCTGAGGACTCAATTAACCTTTGTCCCCTTTGCAGGGTGGCAGTGAATAATTGTTTTCTCAGAGAAACAGATCCCTCATTTCTCACCAGTATCATCATGTTCAGGTTTTCAAGTAGTAGTAAATGAATGGGTAGGTAGAGTAAGCAAGCACGTGATTTCAAAGAATTCTTGTTTGCTCATTATCCCTTGTATTTCACACCAACACACCCTACCAGACAGCATCTTTCTTACTATGAATATCAGCAGGGCTTGGCACATGATAGCCTGGTGGGAATAATGTGTGATGAGGGGTTTAAATCTTGGGAAGTTGAACAGCACATGGTGGGAATTAAAGGCCTTGATTGTAAATGGCAGCGTGACGGCAATTGAATTCTCAGCAGCTGTCAGGGTCACCGCATTATATACTGCAAGCTGATGATAATTAGACTTTAAGCATGCAAAAGAACAAGACCCGTCGCTCCGTCCCTATTCACTCATAAGCCTTTATTGCGAGTAAGACCGAGGGGCGCAATAATTTCAAGGCCCTGCGTCTCCTCCACTCCCTGTAATCTGTGTTGTAATCCATGTCACTTGTGATTCTCAGTGTTCCAAAAGGCTTTTCTTGTTGACCTAGAGAGTGGCTCTGATAATGGGGGACCCCCACCATCTGTGTACAAGGCCAGGGACCTTTAACACACTTGCCCACACAGAATGGTTCTTTAGGGGCCAAATCATAAAAGGAGCAAGAACCTCACCAGGGTTTCTGGAGGAAATATAACTGGCACTGCAATTAGGAGACAATTACACACAATAAACCAGAAAATCAATTAATGCATTTCCGATATTTATACGTTTTTGAAAAGGATTCACATGTAAACTACAGTAGAAAGAACTTTTTAGTTTTTAGTGACTATTTTTTTATGTACAGCCGGTTTGTCAGCCGGTTTGCCGGTTAATCTTGTTTGATTTGCATCTCAAAATGCTTTTTGGATTTACTAAAGAGAAGAAAAAGCATGCACGTTTATTTTTGTGTTTATACTTTGAGTTTGACTTTTAGACAAAAGCTTTATTTAGAATAAAGTTGGGCTGTGCAATTAATCGAAAATCCGATTTCGATTTCGATTTTGGCTTCTAACGATTATGAAAAACCATTAATCGAAATAAACGATTATTGCGTCATTTACCGCCCCTTTCCAGTTGTACATGTGTTGCTCTTAAAAGCGCAAAAGACTGCATGATTCTGTGTGTGAGGCGCGCACACACAGAACAGAAGCATGCAGTCAGCATTCGGTCTCATTCGCACACTGAGACGAGCAGAGCGCAGTCAGCGCACACATCTAAAGTCATCTTAACGTGAGCGCTTTAATGGTCAAATAGGTGTCAAAACGCGGCGTTTAGTGATTATTCAAATTAACCCTCATTTGTGTAATAAACAAACGAGTTGA